GACACCTAACACATTGCATGACTTGCCCTCATCCTCAAATACCTAGACTATACATTAAATATATAAAAATTCCATTATAAAAATTTGTACTGATCACAATATATGTTCTGAATAATTGGCTGAAGAAAACATGAAACCAGACATTTACAAGCTAAACTCAAATTATAAAGACTAATTTTCCCATTCAGCATACAATGTGTCACGTATAACATTATTATGATTATTATTAATAATTATTTATGATTATAATTATTATGATTATAATTAACAGTTTTTGATGCAATGTTTTATCATATTTTATTCATAATATGAAAAATGTGCTATGGGTAACTCATTACAAGTAATGTGAGTTGAAAGACCTGTTACATTTCCCAAAAAATAGAACTTTTGTGTTTTTTTGCTATTGAAAAACAAACAAACAAGCAAGCCCAGCCCAGGTGAGAAAAAGTAATGCAAAAGCAATTAATTTGCATAAGAAGTAACTCAATTAGTTAGTTTTTTTGTTTTTTTTTTTGGGAGTAAACGCATTACTTTTAAAAGTAACTTTTCCCAACACTGCTTATTGTTATTGATTGATGACTATGTGGAAAAAGTTAATTTTCCTATTCACCAAACAGTATGTCATGTATAATTGCAAGTTCATGGTTATAATAATGCCAAAGTTTGATTTACAGGACATGGTTGATGTCCAATGTAAAATTTAAATCTTTTATAATTGCACATGGTTGTAGCCATTTTGTATTCACTTTTTTTTTTACCCGTGCTAACGAGTGTGCATGTATCCCTGCACATCCGTGCACACACGTGTGTATGCACATGATAGTACAGACTGGAAGAGATGAAGGGGAAGAGATAAACACTGCTCTCATATATTTTAGCTCAGTATCCCTTATGAGCCCCCAAAAGAGCTCCAGAGACACGGCAAATGGAGAAAATGAATGATTTATTTACTTTTTGAATGCACTGCAAAATATGCAAACGTCAGATGAAAAGCCTAAGCAAATCTATCTCCCTGAGGCAACAACACTGTGTTATGTTGCTTCTTGAAGTCGGCATAAAGCTTTAAAACTGACCATGAAACCATTTTTCCTTTTCTCATTATGGGACTCAAAACTATTAAGCAAATTCCTCACTTGTGCATTTTACATATGAGGTTTGGGAATGATTTTAAGATGATATTAATGAAGGTATATTTGAATGCCTCAAGGTGCAATCTGTCATTGCAAAGATTTGTGAAGGTTCCTGATTTAAGCACTGTTGATATTGTGTGTAATGGATATAGAAGCACATATAAATATAGAACAATATTGTGTGTAACTGATATAGAAGCATGTATAGAATTCAACAAATATCTACACAGCTGTTAAACATGCAGGTAACTGCCAAATATATCAGACGCCATTTAAAGGCGATTTAGAAAGGAATATAATTTTTTAAAAGGTTATCAAAACTCAAAACCAATTAAAAGCACAAAGTATTTGACTAGCCAAATACTACCATAGAAATAATGGAGGAGGAGATGGACCTGGATATAAATTGTAATTATGAAAGCCCCAATCACCTTTTAGAGGGATTTGAATTGCAATAGTTGTGGATCTCAATCTCTCTCCATTCAACCAGAGCTGCACTGCTATATTGACCAGTGCAAAATTAACAACATTTTAAAGGGTTTTTGCATGTTAGTACTGGACAAGCTGTTCATAATGAAACTAATTGTAATTGCAAAAAAAAAATGGCAAGTTTAACATTTTTATCGCTTACTCTATTATAAAACACTCAACCATCAATCTTTATATAACAAATGACTGACAGCAATCTTATCTTTGACCTTTAAGTGATTGGATTTGAATTGATTTTGTAAAGCCTCATTGCGGATGTAGACCTTAAGTGTCTTGCTTTTGGGCGCAATGGTGGCACCGGGAGCAGGACAACTGAAATCCTCTAGGAACTGCTTCACTAAGCTTCCCAATATGCTGGAATTAAGATCTTCAAGCTTCCTAATTATGTGTGCTTCTACAAACGTATTCTACGCCTGAAAGAGGTAAAATAATAATGTGTGATTAAAGCTATTTTAATAGGGGGAAAACTGTCTAAATGTCAGAGCGAGACATGTTCACAAACAAAAATAGTAAGGAATGAAGAAGTGGTATAGTGAAAAATATAATGATAATGCACATGCTTGTACTCTCATTACATCTTCTTTCTTGAGATTGACTCAAATATGATTTGTTTCCTATGCAAACTCCCAATTAAAAACAGGGCAGTACTGTATATGCAACAATAACAATAGAGTAACTGTCCTCATGAGATCAATCTTTGACTATTTACTCAAATCAAGAAAATACTGAAATAACATTTTACAGGGAGACCTGCTGCAGAGTAAGTTGTAATGCCGTCAATTTAATCAATTAGAAATGATCAACAAATGAAATTATGAGCACAATTTACAGTTTATAATTTGCAGGAGGATTTGACAGAAGTGTATATTTAAAAAATATAAAGTAATTACAGGACAGTAAAAAAGCAGGGTAAAAAGGTATAATTGAATATCTAGCTTAAAATTTGATTTGTGATCATGGCATCATCTGCATTAGCAGGTTCTCTAGCAAGTTTAAAACACCCACACAAATTTTTATCTGTTTAAAAAAGTCAAGTAGTTGCACAGTGATTTCCCAATGTAAATGCATACTAGTTTCTCATTTTACATGCAGTTTATGTTAAAATGAAATGGGGGTGGCTGGAGAACAACAATGAATTCATGCAAAATATGCCCCTGTTTTCAATTGGTAATGTTATGTTCAGTCTGGTACTAGGTTAATATTTGTGTTTAATGTCAGTATTTCTGTATAGTTTAGATAAATTTACACAGTTTTGTGATAATATAGATTTCTAAATTAATTTGTTGCAGATACATTTTTGTTTAAAAGTTTGGGTTTAGAAAAAGTTGATGTTTTTGAAAGTCGCTTATGAACATTAACGATGCATTTATTTGATAAAAGTACCATATTATTACATTTTAAAATTAAATATTTTTTATGTTTTAAAATGTCATTCATTTCTGAAGCTGAATTTTCAGCATCATTATGCCAGGCAGTCTTATGCCACTGCTCAAAAAAGATTTATTATAATTTAAAAAATCAGTTAAAACAGCTGCTTATAGACTTATTTCAATAACTATGAATAATAAGGGTTCTTTGATAAATGGAAAGTTCAAAAGTACAACATTTATCGACTTATCGAGACTATTTTTTAAGATGGCTGCTGCCTGTATACACGAAGTGAACTGTCTTCATAAAGTATCTTCTTATTAAACGGTCTGTACACTTACAAAGTTCCCAATGCTTCGTTTTGCATGTATGGAGCCTCAGTATGTTTCTGTGTTAGTGTGTGGCTATTTTGAGCCTTGTTAGTGGTATAAACTAGCGATTTATTTTACTTAGTCAATGCCCCCAGTACTAGCATTATACGCTAAACAGTTTTTAGAGATAAATCTCTTTACATTCGATTATCAAGAAAACAAATCTCAGAGAACGATTGACTAGGCACCGATGTTTTATTAGACCAAAGGTTCATTGTTCGCCGGAGTTCTCCTTTAAGGTAAATTGGGCCACCAAGAAAAACATCACTTTTACAAAAAATTTGTTTATATTCCAAACTAACAACATTATTTCTGATTAATGCCATTGAGACATACAGTATGCATAGTTTTTTTTTATGAGCATGTTTTTTTTATTTTTATTGATGTATCATCCTTACAATAGTTCAGTGCAATTTGGTATGCCAGGCTACTTACCATGCAGCTTTCTGGTGTAGTCTCGATTTGAATTATTCCCCCGCCAACCATAGCAACCATAAACCAATCTTATCACCTGTTATTTATCAAGCACAGTTATGACAACAGTTTGAAATCCTTTGCAGTCATTGGCTCTAAATTATAGAGGAATTGGGACCCCCAAACCTTAAATGGCCCATTTTACCTGATGGCCCATTTTACCTGATATCACCCCTATTGTTTTTTTGTAATAAATGTCTTTACTGTCACTATTGATCAATTAACGCAATCCCTCCCCCCTCCCCCTCCCCCCCTCCTATATTTTCAAGGACTACATGGGCTCTATGCACGGCGGTATTTCCGGTGAAGCATTAGGGATGCTCGATGACTTCCGCCGATCGTAGAGTCCAATGCAATACCGAGAATTTATATTGAATTTTATACTCCATGGTTATACTAAAGAAACGTTAGTCACAAAAACAGATAAAACAGACACCCCTCGTTGTGTTTATGCTTCTTTTTAAAATTATATTAAATAAATATAACTATATATAAAATTACATCTAAACGTATGTACGTTTCATTTCAAAGACTGGAGGACAGTAAATTTTGAAGACTCTGCCATAATCCCGTTTTCCTCGGTTTTCCTCCGCTTTAATCTCCACAACCGGAAATGGACGAGCATCCTTGCGTCAAATGCGGAATTTATGCGTGCATATAGCCCATTCAGCTGTTACCTGGTAAAAGGAGTGGTTATGGTGGCGCTACGTCAGTAGGGCGGGGTTATTTACCGCTGGTGGGAGGACTGATAGTTTGAAAGTGCAAAAGCAGGACAAAAGGAACTATAATTTCAAAATTCTCCTAATTGATCCGTTCACCTGCGGTCGCGTGTGTAAGCTAATAATATCAACAACACACGTCACTACAATAACTGTTTACAGAGCTTGCTGCTCTCATAGTGGACAAATGAAGCGTGTAATTTCCTTCAACACATAACCCATGCGAAGCCAGGATGTTGTCAGACTGCAAAATAACAATATGTGTATTGTTAAAATGAATCACTATTTCTAACGATAATAAGCAGCGTTTTGGATATTAACACCAAAGTGAACTGAATTGAATGCACGCGTGCGTCTAAAACAGAGAATAGCCTAAATTGCGCCGTCGCTAGGACAACTGAATCTAGGGAACGTGATAGCCTGATAACAAAAGTGATTTATCCACCCCACGACTGACTGAAGTAGATTTATTTGACCGGGACACAACTATAGTGGTCTTTAGTATTCTTCTCCCCCTTCTAATATCCTCAGACACCAGCACATGATTGAAAGTAAGAGATGGGCTGGGCCGCCTAGTGTCTGTGTTTGACAATAGAACTAGAGCTGTGGTGTTCGCGGGAGCGGCAGCATCACCGTATCGCTCTTCACGGAGAGCGGACAAGGGCATCACATCTGCTCATTTCCGTCTGACAAAGTTATAAGTTTATCCACGACCACAGCAAACCGGTTATTTGACGCGAACTGGACAAACTGGTCTCACTCTTCCTCCTCCGCGCGTGGGCTCAATAGGCTGTTCGCGGTGGGAATTGTAGAGCGGCACAAGAAAGCGGAGACTCCAGCGTTTAACTCACTATTTCAGATTCATTCCTGACCGGCGGCTGTAATTTATTGGGAGAAAACCATCCAAAAGCTTTATTCAATCACATAAGCGTCTCTTAAAAAAACAGTCTGTTGTTCGAGGCTGGATAACCGTTTTACCACCGCGCGAAGGTCCTCTGCCTCGGGAGAATTTAACCGTTGTGGAGTCCGTATGCGCACTTCCACGCTGTCCGAACAGGTGTACGCGTTCATTACTCCATCCGGGCTGATTTCGGAAGGTCCGAGTGACGATTAGGAATTTATACATTTTGCATTTCTCTGCAATACCTGGACTTAATCGCCAGGGCAGAAAACAGAAGAACTATGGATATCAATTGGTTTATTATAACCTTTGTTTTGGGTAAGTTATGTTTTTACTACATATTTCATCATGCCGTGTCCTCACTGTTTAATGACCCATTGAGCTGATTAATAAGGTGCCCTTTTATTTCATTACACGCACTTGTTGCAGTTTTCGTGTCATTTTTGATTAATGGTCCTGGTATTTGAGATGATACAATCACGCGTTGGCTACACGTTAATATCTCAACTAAACCGAGACGTTTTTCGCTGCCTGTGGATTAATGTAAACCCAAGTTATACAGCTATGGAAGTAAATACTGGCATATTAAGTAGCCTAGTCTTTGATGCGGTCCATCTTGAAAGTTGCATCCGCTTGAACACAGTACAGTGATAGTAAATTGACCACTGATATTTCAGGTTATCTCAAACATCTACACACACACACACACACACACACACACACACACACACACGTACACACGTAGGCTATTCGGATATGGTGTTTGTACATAGTATGAGCAGCATTGATGTAAATGTGAATTAAATGTTTGGGAATCCATGCTTATCAGTGGTTCAGTCAGTGGCTAAGTTGATTGTGACCCAGGCAGCATGCTCTGAAATGTTTTTCTTTATTTTCCCCCCTCACTTTGACAAACAGAAGGCAGCTGGGTCTCAACAGTTCTGGTCAGAGAGTGAGGTTTGTTTTGGGGTTAATGTTGGTTTAGAGAGCCCAGCAGGAGATTAATGTTCCTTTATGGGGGACATTAAATCAAGTATACACAGGAGCGCATTGATTGATTTGAGGGCATTACAGATCATTCCATTCTTAAAGGTGAACTCAGTATTTGTTAGCTAATTAGAAATGTTTTGAATAAAGAGAAATTAACAGAACTTTTGAGAAATGGCATTAAAAAAGTTCACTCACGTGATTTGTGGATTTCAGGCATGTCAGTTCTCTAGAAAAAGTTGATTTTATTTACATGGAGCTGGTTGCCCTCTCATGGCATGGGTGCCAGGATTTTGACATCATATCACTGTTATGAAATTAATGTAGTTATGGTGCGTTCAAGTAATCTCAGACTGATTGCTTTTATGAGTCACAGCAATGTCATTATTACGAGTGGAAAACTTTTCTTTGAACCTTGAATTTCCAAGGTGGGAGCATCTTAGTTTGAAAACATATGGATGGAGCAACTGTAGTTGATGGTAAATTTTATTGAAATGTATGAAATGATTTAATTTACAATAAAAACTAATACTATTCTGATGGATAACTGCTAAATGTAAACAAAAAGTGCACCTTTAATTCACCCAACAACTTTCACCTGTATAACTTCATGTTTTAAATCTGGACCTACTACTTGAGGGCTGACAAGTTTTATATTACGACACAGAAACGCACCTTGTCCCTGAAAGCCAGCCATCACACACACCTGGATTCAAACTCACCTGTGTGACGTCAGAGGTAGTGTGTCATTGGGTTGATTAACACTTTTAGTCACATAAGTGTGTGATTTAGTCAAAACAGATGTGTGTGATTCCAATATGACAGTTTATGATCTTTCTGTCTGACCTATTGATGATGAATCCATTGTCTAGGTTATACTCTGCTGGACAGCTGGAGCTCTGTGTTTGTGTTGTGAGAAAGCATGTTTTGCCCTTGAACTAGGTTAATATGACATTGCACTCAGACTTTTTCTTTGGATTAACCTAACCCCCCACAGATTGTCTCCCCCATTTCCATACGTATACGTGGAGTCAGGATGAAACAAGCTGTTATTTCATAAATCATTACTCTTTTCCACATGCAAAACACTTTTCAAGTTGCTGTCAGCACTCATTCGCAGTATTTCCCCAAGTGTCAGTCACAGACAAAACCATTAATGTCTGCATTTACATAACTCCCTCCCCCATTAGTTTTGTCCCCTTTTTCTCCCTCATCACACACGCAAATACCGTCATACTCATTCACACAAACTCTCTACCTCCTAACAAACAACAGATGGCTGTACCCTCTTGGACAAGATGCATGTTTGTTCTGCAGGGCCAGGGAGGGGACTGGGTGAAAATGAAACATTGGTTACTGTTGGCTCTCATAATTTCATTTGAAAATCTGTTGAGGTCCATGATTTTGCGTTTGCTCTCAGCAGGTGGATTTGATCAAACGAACACTTTTGGTATTGCAATATTGTAGAAAACCAATTCCCTAGATCATCTTTGATTCATACTGGTTCTTTCACTTTGAGTTTTTATTAAATTACATGCAAATGATCGTATTTCAGACAGTAGTGAACATCTTCTAAACATTAAGTGTGGACGGAGAGGAGCTCAAATGTTTTTGAGGAAACTTATAGAATAGAGTAGAATAGAATAGAATACAATAAATCTTTATTGTCCACCGGGGTGGAAATTTTTCTTTTGCTCACCGCAACATACAATACAAAACAGATAAAAACATACAAATAATAAATAAACATTTCTCAGGCATAATAAAGAAACATTTCTAGATTAATAATAATAAAAAAAGTAAAAAAAACTTGTTAAGAATATATGTGCATGAACAGCTTATTTCCAGATGCACAAACAGTATGTTAGACAAGCAAATATTTCACACAGGAGGAGAAAATATTCAGGTTCTCATTTGGAGTGAAATGCTTCCCACCACCCCCTGTTCCTGTGATATTCTCTAAAACTGCTCGCAAAACAGCAGGAGAGGCAATAAAGACTTTCCTCGTTCACGCAAAGTTAATAGGCCCACAAACTGGTAAACACTACTGTAAAAAGCTTTTTTCATGGTATTGTCTCTGTTGTATTTATAATTAGCTTTCCTCACTCATGGGAAATGCTTTTTTTAGGACCATCATGTGACATGAATGCTTACATCTCAAGATGTTACACTTCTGTGGATAGGTCCAGTTTGCATGTGTTAGCAGCTACAGTAGATAGTCTTGAACTGTGTTTATCTGATCACGGTGTAATGCAGAAACGTGGTACCCAGAAGAAATGTTATCCCTTTTGAAAAAACACACTATGCAAATTTTAAATACTTTTCATCCATTTTAATTCAGCTGTTTGAACACCATAGAGGAGGCTGTCATAGAGAATGATAGAAAGGAAAAAAAAAGTGTGTGCTAGGGAGTGAAATTATTCAAGGTGTTTGTCTGAAGTCTTTATTAGACTCCCACTGACTCCGGCGCATTAGCCGAGCTTAGCTTCCCTGCATGAAGTATACTCCCCCTGCCATGCTCTCATTTCCCAACACTCACTAGGCTGGCCTTATTAAAGCCTCACTGAGTGGATTTTAGTTTTATTAGAAATATAGAGGAAATTAAAAGTGCTATAAGCATTTTCAGCCGTCTTACACCATTTTGCTAACTTCAACTAAGCTACATGCCCTTGTCATGATCATACCCCCCTGAAGCATCATATCCACCATCTGCAATGACTGTTAAAAACATTGCATGTTATTGCGATATTTTTTTTTCTATAGCTCATCAAAAAAAGCTGTAACCAGTACGCTGTACTTAGTATGACAAACAAGGCTATAGCTTTCTAACCAAAGGCAAAATGGTCACAAAATGGTGAAATATGTAATTAGCTTTGCTTATGTGTAATCACATTTCCACAATTAAGAATAAAAACACCATCAATTAATTTTCTCCTATTTCTAATTCAGAATCACACAGTGTTCTTTTATATTTATGGTAAAGCTGCTTGTTTTCAAACTTATTTATTTTTTAGAAACTGGGAATATTAATTAATTAATTAACCATTTATTTAAATTATGATTTTCATTTAATGTCTTTTTAGCATTAATAATAAAAACCACTGCCATAGAGAGATTCAAATTGTGTATCATTTTGATTTTTTTTCATTAGGGGTCCTATTATGATTTATCACTTTTTCAACTTTAGTTAGTGTGTAACATTGCTGTTTGAGCATAAAAAGATCTGCAAGGTTACAAAGCTCAAAGTCCACTCCAAATAGAGATATTTATTTCACAGAAAACACTTCAGGAATTATAGCAAATGGCTTGTTGGGACTAAGTCACAATGTCACTCATTTAAATAATCCCTGCCCACATAATATGCAAAAAAGGGGCATTGTCTTTATAAAAGGGGGCGAGGGCTGGTTGAGCTGCACTAGAGAAAACAAAGACCTGCTCCACCCTGGGTGCAAAACCCCTTTGTTTGGTTTTTCTAAGGTAGACAAACTTAGAAAAGTGTGATTTAAATCTATTTTTAACACTGTTCCTGAACATTTTAACCCCAACGTTTATCTGTGTGCTGCACATTTTACGGAGAACAGCTTCCAGAACCTGAGTAATGCTGGTTACACACAAAAGCTTCTCCTTAAAAACTGCAGTTCCCACTTCGTCAGGACAATCAGTTGTTTATGGATAACAACCTGTATGTTTTATTATTTGTTGTTGTGTTTTATATTATAACTTTTATGTTGTTACTACGATGTAAACAACAGGAAAGCTGTTTGGCTCCACTAGCCTGCTAGCTAACATTACAGTGTTGATGTAGTGTTTAGCTACGGGGCTCTTGCTTTTGTAAGACTGTTCACAGTTCTTACCACTCTGAATGTCCTGTAAAATCCTGTTCTTGCAAACGTTCTGCACAATCCTCCTGTTCACAAAGGTTTTCAGCGTCTGAATCTGGCTCGAAGGGGTATGAGAAAAGCAGAGCAGATGAAACCTGAGCAGATGAAACTCGCGGTTATGGTAAGGGATGTGACTTTACAGAACACACGCAAAGCGGTGCGCCAATAACAACACACTGGGCCAGCTAACCAATCAGAGCACATTTTGTATTTTGGAAGGAGAGGCTTCAACGAAACAGAAACTAAACAGTGTTTAAGACAGACTAGAAAGAGAGGTGCTGCAATAATGGAAAATATGTGACACAATAATGTGTTTTAGAACAGTCAAGCATGAAAACCTATTCAAGTACATCCCAAAAATAAAATTAAGACTTTGTAAAAGGGCAAAATGCGACCCCTTTAAAAAAAGATGTGGTGGCATAGATAGAAAAACCTGGCTTACTCCAAAAC